TGGGCTCCGGTGATCCTTCCACTCAGCCTTCCGAGTAGCCGGAATACAGGCATGTGCTACCACGCCCGGCTGTTTTTTTGATTTATTGTAGAGATGAGGTCTCGCTGCCCAGGCAGGTCTCGAACCCGCAGGCTCTGGCAAACCACTCACCTCAGCCTCCCAAAGCCACGGGATTACAGGCTGAGCCACCGAGCCCGGCTGAAGAGAAATAATTTTAATCAGGTTCATTATACTATAATTTACATCCTTCAAAGATTATCTAAGTATACCGTTTTATGAGTTTTGACAAATTGATACAGTCATGCAACCACCACCACAATCAAGATATAGAACATTTACCCCCCCCTTGAATATTCAGTCATGCCTCCTTGCAGTCAATCTCCTCTTCTACTTCTGGTCTCAGATAAGCTATGATCTGTTTCCTATCAACACAGTTTGGGTTTTCTAGATTTCCTTATGGAATAATACAATATGCAATCACTCAGAGTCCTTTGCATCTCACTTATTTTTGTCCTTGAAAAATACTCTTCACCAAATAAAATGGCATGCCACAAGTTGGAAGAAAAATATTTGTAAAATAGGTATCTGAAAAGACTTGTATCCTGACTATATGAATTCTTAAATTGTGTAAAAAGACCACCCGATTTTCAAAGATAGGCAAAAGATCTGAACAGACAGTTCACCAAAGAAGATAGACCAATGGTAAATATACATGAAAAGATATCCAACGTCTTTAGTCATTAAGGAAATATAAGTTAAAACCACAATGAGATATATATATTGTCACAAAGACTCATTCACAAATGTCCATAGCCACTTTACCAACTGGAAACAGCTCAGGTGTTCAGCAACTAACAAGCAAGCAGTGGAATTGTCATACAATGAACTACTACTCCATAATAAAAAGGAAGCAACTAATGATAAACACTATATGAATGAATTACAAAGGTACGATGCTGAGTGAAAGAACCAGATAAGAAGACTACATAGGAGAAATTGGGAAGGTTTACTAAAATCAAATAAAAGCAGTGACAATTTTGTATCAAGGTAAGGTATGACATGCTATGTTACATGATCATTCTTGTCCTCAAAGAGCCACATAACTGCATGAATATTAACCAATATAAAGGTAGTAATTCGAAATTTTTCTTGTGACTCTTTCATAGTTATTCCTCAAATCCGATTTTGTCTGTGTGCTCATGGAAGACACAGATCGTAGTCCTCAAAGAACTTGAATTCTGAAGCAGGAAAACAGATAGAAAAAAAAGTAAAGAAATATAAAAACAAAGTAGTTTCAAGTAATGACGAATAGTGAGGGGAATAAAAGAGGGCAACAGAGTGACAGAGAAGTCCCTTACAGGTGAGTACCGAGGGCAGGCTTCTCTGAGGAGACAGCATCTAGGCTATAACCTGAAAATGGTGACATCCCCTCACAAAGATCCATAAGCCCCCTGTCTCAGCTCCAGGAATTTTTACTTTTCACCATCACTGTGTGACCTATGAATGACTGTGGAATCTACTACCACTTTCCACACTGGGCTATCCACCCTTTCAGCTGGATGATATGGTTTGAGGGCATGGATGATTAATGTCCCCATTGATTTTGTGTTGAAACTATGGAAACCACTGAGAGTGATGGAAATGTTCTATATCTTGACTGCAAAACCAGCTGTTGATGTACTGAAACTTTCCATGGGCATTCCACTGATAATCTGTATGTTCCCTCACCAACATTTGCTATTTTTGTTTTTTCTAACAATAGCCATCTGAATAGGTGTGAAGTGGTATCTCTTTGTGGTTTTGGTTTACATTTGATTATTGATGTTGAGCATCTTCCCATGTGTCTTTTTGACCATTTTTATGTCTTCTTTGGAGAAATATCTATTCGGGTTCTTTGTTAGTTTTTCAAATTGACTTGGTTGATTTTTGGTGTTGTGGGAGTTCTTTACATATTCTGGAAAATATATCCTTTCTCGTTTGTGTGATTTGCAAATATTTTCTCTCATTCTGTAGTTGCCTTTTCACTCTGTTGATAGTGTTTTTTGATGCACAAATGTTTTTAGTTTTGTTTTTTGAGTCAGAGTCTCACTCTGTCACACTGGCTGGAGTGCAGTGGCACGCACACGTCCACCCCAGCATTAATCTGCTGGGCTCTGGCAATCCTCCTGCCTCAGCCTTCCAAGTAGCCGAAACTTCAGACACGCGCTACTATGCTTGGCTAATTTTTTATTTATTGTAGAGACGCAGTCTCGCCAAGTTGCCCGGGCTAGTCTCAAACCCGTGAGCTCAGGCAATTCATTCGCCTCAGCCTCCCAAAGTGCTGGAATTACAGACTGAGCCACCAAGCCTGCCCCACAAATGTTTTTACTTTGATGTAGTCCAATTTGTCTTTTGGCTGCCTGTGCTTTTGGTGTCATACTCCAGGATTCATTACCAAATTCAAGGTTATGAATTTTTCTCTATATATTTTCATCTAAGAGTTTTAGCTTTTAGATCTTGGTCTTTGACTCATTTTTGAATTAATTTTTGTATATAATGCAAGGTAAGAATCCAGCTTCTTTTGCATGTGGATATTCAGTTTTCCTAGTCCTGGGTAGAACTGAAAGTTTTTCACAAGAGAGACGAGGAAGGAGGAGACAGAGAAAGGTGAGATGTGACCAGTTTAATTTTGTTGAAATGTGGCTACATCTGGCTGGGTTCAGTGGCTCAGCCTGTAATCCCAGCACTTTGGGAGGCCAAGGTGAGTGGATTGCCTGAGCACGCTGGTTCAAGACCAGCCTGGGAAACTTGGCGAGACCTCGTCTCTACAATAAATCAAAAATTAGCCGGGTGTAGTAGCGTGCACCTGTAGTTCTGGTTACTTGGAAGGCTGAGTTGGAAGGATCACTGGAGCCCAGCAAATTGATGCTGGAGTAGCCATGAGTGTGCCAGGCACTCCAGCCTGGGTGACAGAGTGAGACGCCAACTCAAAAAAAAAAAAAAAAAGTAATGTGGCTACTTCTTAAGCAAAGATTGTTTTAGTGGATGTTTTCAAAGCTGCGTGTTACTGTTTCAAAGGTCATACAGATAATGATTAAGTTGTGCATCACTGAAGATAGATTTTGACCTCTTCTAAGTCGAAGAGTACTGAAGATCCAAGATCATTTACATCCCTTAGGAAGAAAAAAATTGAAAATGTTACCAGGTATTCCATGGGTCAAAGTATAACTGCCTAGTTTGCTATTCTTTAAACTTCCACACTCAGTTGCTAGAGTGACCTTCTCTTTATCTGACAGCCTAGGAGGCTGGTGTTGGACATGTCCTCATCTTTTCTTTGGAGTTTAGTTATTTTATTGACATTTGCTGAATTAAATGGTGATGCTGAAGGACATGAGCTGCAGCGACAAAAAAGAAGCACTGATCTCCAACAGTAAGTAAACCCGCAGATCATTCCTGCTGAGGGAACACGGTAGTTCCTCACCAATTTCCTGAGATAGCCAGATAAACAAAGATGTCATTTTTCTTGATGTTACAAAGCAAACATGGAAAAACACTTAGACTGATGTATGGAATTACCTTCTTACACAGAAATTATTCATTTGTAATTTTGCAAACAATCTAACTATGCAATTACCTGGAGAAATCTCCAGGAAATTTGCAGAGAAGTAGGGACAGGTTGGTTGAGTTGATAACAAAGTGAAGATTTATATAGTCAGTAGTTATTCAGTGAGAAACTTTGTTGTTTTTATTTTAAAATTATATGTGCTAATTACTGATGCATGCTCTGGTTTGAATTATATAGGCCTAGGATGTCTACAGAGAGGGGAAATTTAGTGTTTCTTACGGGGTCTTCCCAAAACATTGAATTTAGAACTGGATCCCTGGGAAAAATTAAATTAAATGATGAAGACTTCAGTGAATGTTTACATCAGGTAATATGCTGGAATATCTTGAAACAATTTTGCATATCTATATATAATGACTGAATTAAACAGGTTTATATTAATCTGTACCTTGCATCTTATTTTAGTTATTATTTTTATTGATATGTAATAGATGTACATATTCTTGGGATACATGTGATAATTTGATGCATTCATATAATGTGTAAAGATTAAATCAAGGTAATTAGGATACTCATCACCTTAAACATTTATCTTTTTTCATGCTAGAAACATTCACATTATTCTCTTGTAGCTATTTTCAATTGTACAATAGATTAATGTTAACTATACTCAACCTACTCGTCTATCAAACAGTAGGTCTTATTTCTTCTACCTAACTGTGTATTATAACCATTAATCAACCTGTCTTCAACTCCCCCTGCCCCACATCCTAGTTTACCTTGAATCTTTAGCACAGAGAACATAACATGTAGACGTGTTCTTGGAAAAGAACGATTACCTCAGGTTCATGGTGGGTAGACGGATTAATGCTAACAGAAAGTAGCTCATTGCACAGGGCAATGTACCCAAGTCCAGAGAAGGTACAGAGAGTAGAACTTGAACTCTACAAGGGAAGTAAAGAAGGGGAACCAGAGAAAGGTATAGATGTGACCCATTTACTTTCGTGACAGAACAGAATTGGTCCCTGATTCTCATGCCTTAGTAAATGTTTTCAGTGGTCAATATTTACTCCATCACACTGGTATATCAGTCATAATGTTAGAAGCCACATTGTTTATGGCCACTGTGGCTTTCCACTGTGCTCAGCCCTTTATATGCGCAGTCTCATTTGACCCTCAAAGCTACCCTAGGAGGTGGGCTTTATTATCACCCCATTTATAAGAGAAGTGAAAGAAACTTGAAGCTATTAAGTCACTTGCCCAGGGCACACAATAATGGCTAAGCCTAGATTTAAAACCTAAGCAGTCTGATTTAAACTGTTGTTATAAGAAAAAATGTAAATGGAAAAATACCTTAATGTGTTGCTGAAAAGGGTAAGTAGAATTATACCATGGCTATTTTAGCCTAATGTTTGTTATACATAGCATTGTTTCGGTTTTTATAATAATAGGCAAGATCTTAGTGCTTAAAATAGAGCACTGCTCAAGTTTTGTGTTATATTCCTACAAGAAAGACATGATTTTCTCACTAGCGTTCTTCTTTTAAAAATTAGATCCAGAAAAACAAAGATGATATTACAGATTTAAAAGGGAGTACAATTGGTCTGCCTCAAAATATATCTAGCCAAATCCACCAGCTTAATTCCAAGGTAAGTGTGACATCCGCATCATAAGAACCAATTGTTTCTCCTTAATTCAGCATTCTAAGTAACCGTTTGGTAGGAGACATACTAGCTCTTTGTATTGCCTTTAGAGGTTTAGCATTGTAAGAATGGACTTTTTGGTAACAGACAGAGCGCTAATGGAGGATGCAGAAGTGATGGACAGAAGGTAGGAAACGCCGGACAGGGGCTTGTTGCATGAGTAGGGCTTGCTCCAGTTCTGATGGCAGCCTTCTTATTGGTGAAGTGGCTGCATCACTGTCGTTTATGAAAATCCCTAGAGTCGAGCCGGGCTCGGTGGCTCAGCCTGTAATCCCACGCCTTTGGGAGGCTGAGGTGAGTGGATTGCCTGAGTCCGCAGGTTCGAGACCCGCCTGGACAGGCGAGACCTCATCTCTACAATAAATCAAAAAATCAGCCGGGTGTGGTAGCGCATGCCTGTAATTCTGGCTACTTGGAAGGCTGAGGCGGAAGGATCGCTGGAGCCCAGCAGGCGAGGCTGCGGTGGCCGGGAGTGGCCACTGCACTCCAGTCTGGGCGACAGAGTGAGACTCCAACTCAAAAAACAAAACAAAAACAAACAGACAAAAATCCCTAGAGTCGCTGTGTGCAGAGAAACAATGAGTCAACTTATCAGTGGATTGTGCTTTTAAAAAATACCTGCCTGGCAGGACTGGGTGGCTCAGCTTATAATCCCAGCACTTTGGGAGGTTGAGGTAAGTGGATTGCCTGAGTCTGTGGGTTCGAGACCAGCCCGGGCAACTTGGCAAGACCTCATCTCTACAATTAATCAAAAAATTAGCCAGGCATGGTAGCGCGTGCCTGTAGTTCTGGTTACTTGGAAGGATGAGGTGGAAGGATCACTAGAGCTCAGCTGGTTGATGCTGGGATGGCTGTGAACATGCCACTGTACTCTAGCCTGGACGACGGAGTGAGACTCCAACTCAAAAACAAAACAAAACAAAAACAAAAACAAAAAACATACTGACTCTTTTAAAAAGAAAAGAAAACTATGTGATAGAAGGGAATACAAAGGAGAAGAATCCTGAATGGGGAGAGAGATGAGGAAGCAAAAGGCAATAAAAACAGGAACAAACAGATGAAGTGAGTCCTTAGCAGAGAATGTTCGGAAAATATATCAGTGGCATAACATCACATGTGAAATGCTTTTGAACCAGCTAACTGATGCTTTTTCTTCCCCACGACCAGCTTGTGGAACTTGAGAGAAAATTTCAAGGCTTACAACTGGTAAGTCCTGAACTTCTAAATATCTAACATCTTTCATGGAATATCTACTAGAATCACTGATAAAGCTGCAATTCTTTTTTGAGGGTGAACAGAACATTAATTTCAGGGACTTGCTTTTTCCCATAATTTAATTTTCGTCCCAGTTTACGCTTCCCAGGATGCAGTTGAGGAACCCGAGTCTAAGAGAGATGAGTGACCAACCCAAGATCACTGAGCATGTGAGGTCTCTTGACCCTGAGTTCACAGGTCTTGTGAACCCTCTCCTATGGTTACCCTTCAACTGCCTTGCAGTAGGCTCACGTGTGCTATGCTTAGTCATCTAGTGATGACCCAATTTGCTGATTCTGGCACAGTTTTGAATTGTACCCTCTCTGACATTAAGCTCTGAAGTTTGAGATGTATCACCCAATATTCCAAATGTTCTTAAAACTACATTTGCTGGCAATTAAATCTGAACAATTTCTTAGAGCAAATGTTCTATCACTTTGCTACTTGCTTATAAACTGGTCTATGTAAGTTTCACCTTTTCATCCCTGTGATAGGTGGCTGGCCTTTTCAAATCTTTCATGGAAGCCATCACTTCTTATGCAGAGAAATGCACAGAGTCTGTCCATATTTAAAATTCTGAAAAAAAGTCTTCTAGGTGAAGAATCCCTACTGTCATGTTCTTGATCTGTTTTGATTATGCTTCAAGCGTTGGCCTCTACTTTTGGTGCTTTGTGAACAAGTTCGTGCATTCTTTTTCTCGACTTTGAAAATATATCGATTCCTCAACTGTCATCTAAAACTGCTTTCTAGAGCTACTTTCTAAAAAGAAAGTAGTTGAGTGGATGGAAATGAGCGAAGAGTAGTGCTGTGGAACATGACACAGTGCTAGAGTTTTCAGTCTCCTAGAGTGCTTTATTATTCTTACCAAAAGTCAAGAACTGGAGGCCATGGTCAAAATGAGTTCAGACTGTTCTCCCTCCCTCATCCCTCAGGAAGAGTGTTTAATGATTTTCAAATGTGCATGTCTTCATGCTTTTGGATACAGCAAGTGTTCTCTGGCTACTGCAGTCCCTGACACTTCGTATTGTCTTCCTCTGAAGGCTGACTTCATTTCCTGATTGGACCTCTATAGGCTTTTGAGTTTTCACTCTCCAGACAGTGATGCTTTTGTACAACAGAGAATTAATGTTCTTAATAGTATCCTTTGATGGAGAAGCTAATTGTGGTACTAGCACAAAGATAGGCAAATAAAATAATGGAATAAAGCAGGGTTCATAAAGAGACCCCCGATGTATGGTCTCCTGATTTATGACAAAGTTTGAAGGATGGACTTTGAAATCAATGGTACTAAGGTAGTTGGCTATTCTCTGGCTCTCAATTTTATCTGTAAGACAAAAGAAGCAGACTTGATTTTTCTCTCTGAGTCACTGTGTGTGTGTGTGTGTGTGTGTGTGTGTGTGTATGTGTATGCAATATGTATGAAATATACTGAACAGTTTGCCCCAATTTTAACTTTTTAAAACATAGAATTAGACTATTGGTGAAACTAATAAAATAGTTTTCATTGCATAATCACCTGTCCCCTCTAAAGAAGTTTTCTCTGAATCCAAAGGCATTAAAAAATCTCGTAGGGTAAGGTTCTCCAGGCTGTGTAGACAAAGGCAGGTCTGTTTGTGACTCTGAAAGCGGTCAGGTCTTCACAAGGGTGAAGAGTGCATCTTAGTTGGCCACATGTCAAACAAAGGGGCTTGGAGTGAAAGGAGTTCAGTCATCTTAACCCATGGGAAGAGGGGCAGCAGTTGCAGATAATCATATTTCAAAGGCTTCCCTGGAGGAACCAAAGATATGAATCACAGGTAAAAGGACTGGAATTTCCATTTTCCATCTTATTTTCTTAGTGCAATAGGTCTGTCCATTATTATTTCCACCTTTACTCTTGTCCACTGAGGTATGTTTTTCAGATGAACAATACTTTTCTAGAGAGTAAAGTGAGCATCTTCTCATCTCATATCTCATCTCACCCAAGGTTGAAAGCATGTAAAGAGTTAAGGAACATGAATGGGACTGATACATGGAAATACTTTTTGTTGTTTCCCAAGATAGTTGATTTGAAGCAGAACATAAGAAATTGATTTAAAGTCTGGTGGAAGACCCCCACTGACTAGTAGTAGAATGCAATCTTACATACACATCTGCACTGAAACATGGCTTTCATTACTGCAGATTTGAAAACACCGTCATCTCATTGACTCTCCTGTCTTTGTTTCAGACAGTTGACAAAAAGGTTTGCAGCAGCAATCCCTGCCAGAATGGTGGAACCTGCCTCAATCTGCATGATTCCTTTTTTTGTATCTGTCCCTCACAGTGGAAGGTGAGTCACTTGGTCTTTGGTTAAAAATGAGGGTGAGTCAGGATCTGTGGTTTCCTTGGAATCATTCAGGCATATTTAATTCTCGATCCAAAGTTTCTAGGGTTTTTGAGGCCTCCCAAATCAGAATAAATTATACCATGTAGGCCCAAATCCAAACAAAGGCAAGTATGATTATATATCCCACTGAATCCTAAGCTATCTTAAGGAGGGATTCACTTGACTGAATAACTACATACAAGAACACAGTATTTCTGTTAACAATTATTTAAATTGTTCAGCACTGGAAAGTGCTGAGTTAGTCTTGACATACCTATGCAAATTTTCTTGCCTTTCTCAGTAATGGTGAAAAATGTTCCTAGCATGCACATTAAAAAAATGTTAAGTAAATATTCCCAGACATAGCACCATTGTGAAATGATAATTCGTTTGGATTGGGATTCTCTTCCTGGGACTGCTGTGCTCTTATGAAGAGCTTTTTTGGGTCATATCTTAGTTCTAGAGGAAAGATAACAGGAGGTTGATATTATTAGTAGTTAATTAATATTAGTATTATTATATTTGGCTTTACTGAGGACTTATTTACGGCCCATGTGTAAATCCTTAAACAAACCAGATTAATATTGGCCCCAGATACCTCTGTGTATTTGGCACCTGACTTTGTTCTTCACATGACTACAGGGTCCTCTCTGCTCTGCTGATGTTAATGAGTGTGAAATTTACTCAGGAACACTGTTGAGCTGCCAGAATGGAGCCACGTGTATAAATACAGTGGGAAGTTACAGGTAACTTTAAAAAAAAAAAATCAAGTGCATTTAAAAAAATCTTTATGTCACTTTATTTGTCCCTTATGAAACAGTAAAACTCTTTTTTGCAGAGGCCTCCCTGACATTTGAGTTAGTTGAAAATTAGTTTCCCCAAACTAGTGCACACACATTTGACATGTTAGACAAAAGCAATTGATTGTTTTAGATAATTGAGTGGCTCAGTGCACTTCTTTTTATATCCCAACAGCACAGTGATAGGTTTCCACTACCAACTGCATCATTTAATAGAATTAAAATTTAGAGAATAAGAGACATGTCCAGTGCATTTTTGAAAGACTAAAACATCCCATAGTTATGAGGGGGAACCCCATGAAACCCGTAATTTATTATTAAAAAGGGTACATTTATTTTTACATGTTTAAACTTCAGTCACCTTCAGAGTACTCTCCATGTAATGCAATACACCTATCGAGAAGCTTTTTCCACTGCTCAAAGCAGCTTTTAAACCGAATGATTTTGATGCCTTTTAATACTTCTGCCATTTTTTGTTTCACCTCTTCCATATTGGCAAAACATTTCCCTTTGAGGATTTCTTTCATCTGAGGAAACAAAAAATGTTGGTTAGGGTGAGATTGGGTGACCAGGAAGGGTGGGGCACAGGGATTGTGCCATTTTTGGTCAAAAACTGCTGAACACTCAGCCTGGTGTGGACTCATAAATTACCCATCATGAAATGGGCAAATGTGTGCACAGAATCTCCAGAAGAAATGTACTGAAGCTGAACACAGCTTCTCACGACAATGCCAGCTAGTACACTGATGCTGATGGGTTCCTAGAACATTTATGTAGCATGGGAAATCTGTACTATATAAAAGGCTCGCCCTCCAAAAAATAATTCTGGTTTTTTTCAGGGGGTACCCCTAGTGCATCCAAACTTAACTATCAATATTACCTTCAAAATGAGGTACTCCTTGAGGAAGTATGTGGCTCTTATTTAATATATATATAGACCTGTTTTTAGTTGGATGAAGAAAAGCTCATGTGTCTTCTACTCCCACCTCATGAAGAAATCCTTTCTCTGGCATCCCTGAGAAAAGGGAAGAAGGCTGCTTGATGAGCACAGAGAGGAAGGATGGCAGATGCCAGATGAGCTGAAGGACTAGTAAGAGCCAGAGCATTGAAGGGGCAGCCATTGATCGATTTCAAGTAGAAAAGGGACTCTTCTGCCTGTTAACAAGCCTATAGCTTGAGTAAGGATAGCTCCTTCAACGCTATGTCAAAATGTTGACCACAACAAGATCAAGACTGAACTGTGGTTCAGTGAGTCAGTTCAATGACTGAAATAAGTCTCATGGCATTTATTCCATTAGCCCACAGGGTCCCTGACCACAAGCATCATACAGGTGTGTCTTCTCTTCTGACTAATTTGGTCAAACGTCTTGTCCACAGCATTCTCCTGCTCAGCTCAGACAGCACCTTCTCCAGGAAACCTTCTTTCCCTTACCAAGCTGAGTTAGGCATGATGTGTTCCCATCATACTCTAGGAATATTGATCATCAAAGCTGTGCTGGCTCGTATGTTACCTTTTTAACAATCAAGTTCAAAAATTAAGGGCACATCAACATCAAGTTTACTTTTGTATCGTTTATTAAAATCACGTTTTAGACTAGACATTGTCTTTCCCCACATGTTAGCCGGTCTCCTGTATTCTCGTGATTTTTAAAAGGTTAAGAAATTAATTCTGTTATGGTATGAATAGATTCTTTCAGTTCTCTGGGGTAGAATCTCACTGGATTAAAGAGTAATCATTTACCCTCTTACTAGTGTCTCTGACATCTTGTTCTTTAATTCCCTAATAGCAATGTCCATTCTGGTCTTTCCATCAAAAATGAGTGCAGTAATTTTGTTTTTATCCCTGTTATGGCTAACATACTATTTCCAGGAAAAAAAGAAGAAGAAGAAGAAGAAGAAGCAGTCATGATCCCTTTTTCCCATTTAATTGATCCTTTTGTTCTTTTGATCTTTAAAGCTTTCGCTCATTTCAGGTTATAAACTCAAATAACTCAAACTTCTGTCTACAAGTCCTATCATTGTATAAAACCAAAATTAACCACGTCTGCCTTAAATTTGATATTATATTATTAAAGAAACTTTTACTTTCAGGACTTTGTTTTTCATTTAAACAAACCCCCTGCCCCTACTTTTATAAACATTCAAGACTATACTGATTTCAGAATGCAGATCTAATCTTTCATTTAGCACATTATCTCCTGATTTCTGTTTATGGGCATTTATCAAGGGGAATTGCTATTTAGAGATGACAGTGGTAATTGTCCTGACTCCTAGCCCTTATACTTTCTGACCTTCCCCATATCTAGGAATGTCCTGGAGATTAGATTTCACTCCTGGTCTTTCATTATCATCACTGTCTTGTGGGGTCTTGTGGACTATTAGAGTGACAAATATATACAAATGGGATAAGATCCGGAAACCAAGCCAAAGTTGTTGTTATTTTTAGCACATTATTTTTTACCATGCAAAATAGGAAACAGAAAAGGCACTTTGGTATTTGTAGCATGTCAGGGTTTAGAGTTTTTTTGTTCAGATGCAGAGAGAGAGCGAGACACTGAGACAGAGAGACAGAGACATAGACACACACAGAGAGAGAAACACAGAGAGAGACAAAGAGCAAGAGAGAGAAAAAACAAAGACAAGAGAAAGACAGAGAGAGAGACAGGAAGAGACATACCTATACAGAAAAAGAGAGAGAAACAGAAAGACAAGAGAAAGACAGAGAGGCAGAAAGGAGACAGTGAGAGACATACATATACAGAGAGAGAGACAGAGAGAGATAAAACAGAAAGATAACAGAAAGGCAGAGAGAGAGAGATACAGAGAGACATACACATACACAGAGAGAAAGACAGAAAGGGAAAGAGAGAGAGAGAACCATTTATTGGTTGAAGGCTGTGTTTCTAAATAGCAGATTCAGCTTTGTAAGAGTGGTACTGAATTCCCTCTTGTACCTTCTTCTAAAAGAAAGCAAGAAAACACATGGATTCCTTGTGCTAAAGACCTTGGAAATGATCTGATTTCTCATCTCTGCCCTTCACAGATTTGCTGGAGGACAATAGAGAGAACATTTAAATCGGATTTCTTCTTCTTGATATGGGAATAGTTTTAAAAACCTCATAAATCCTAGTTAATTGTGTCTTAAATATCCTAATTTAGGCATATGATGGCAAATTTTTGAAAGAAAAAAATAAAATGAGAAGAAGCGCAGGGGCATAAGATTAAATTCTTGCTTTGTGGAATCTGCGTGTAATGAAACTGAACATTTCGATATTTTCTTGAGTTCTGGTAATTCTGTGAGGTTAAATCCTTGTTAATCAACATCCTTGCGGAAGCTAGAAAACCCTCTGGGAAACTTCAACTCACATTTGCTAAAAGAAAACTTGGCCACTGAATAATCTGGACCTACAAAAATATGCTTATAGCAGGCAAAGTTCACTGTGGATTTCGGAGCCTTCTTCGGTTTCTTTATGTGGGGAGAAAAAACGAGTTTTTATTTAACAGAATTAATCATTGTAATGGCCTTTGAAAAGATGCAAATATGAGTTATTTGGAAGCCTTGTTTGATAGGAGAATTTCTCTTAACAATTCTTTTTTAGAATAATCACTGTAGAGGAAGAAAAAACATTATGTTTCCACTGAATCGTATGGCTTTAAATCTTGATCCCAAATGCTTCAGACACTAAAGAATGATAGTTTGCCATTTCTCGATGCTCTCATTTTCTCTTTTTTCTGAATAATGTATTCTTATTTTTCCCCTGCTTACTTTGGATTTAAGATAGCCCTTGGGATTCGAACTTGCCATGCATGGATGTTATATGTTGTATACTTAGATCTAGAAGCCATTATTTTTTAAAAGTTTAGTTTATTTGATTCTTCAGAAACGTGATGATGATTAGTATATTTTATTTTATTTATTTTCATCCATATCGTTTCATCCATATCCATATCGTTGGTGAATTTTACATGCAGACCTTAAACAATGAGGATAATCTGGTTTTAGCTCAGGTGGTAGTTAGGTATTAAGCTTATTACCTCTTTCAGTTAGTCAGTGAAATTAGTATTGAACCATGGACTCTAACACAAGTTAAACTATGACTATGGAAGTATATTTGACCTCTTCTCAATCACCAAATGGACTTGCAGTGATTTCAAAGAAAAGCCTGTGTTCTTTTGGAACCAAATTGGGGATAGAAGGTCATTACAAAAATAACTTCTGCATAATTAGTAACTAATAACTAGGGCAGAAATTGAAGTAAGTTTAAAAAATACCATATATACCTTTTATTTTCACTTAGGGGTATAAAAGTAATTACTTTTTTTTTAAAGGCCATGTCAAGTTACCTTCCGATTATATTTTGCATATAAACACTGTTATATGAAATTGACACAAGAAATACAGTCTTCATACTAACTCTACCTTTCAGAATATTGGAATGTAGCATGGAAAAACAGCAGTGCAGTAGTCAAACAGACCTAGGTTTCCATTCATCTTCTGCCAACTAATAACTCTGTGGTTGTGGGCAATGCAAGTCTGTAAACTGGGATTAATACCTGTCTCTAAGGAGCACAGCTAGGAAGTCTACAGTTAACTTGGCTTCCTTCCTCCATTTCTTTTTCTTCTCATATTATCTAAACTTAAATGAAAGAAGTGTACTTTGTAGCTGTTTAGAGAAGAGTATAGGATGAACATCTACTCATCTCCTAGTGACAATAGCAAAGGAAAAGGAAGAGAGAGGGAAAGAGAGAATTTAACTACAGGTCCATGAACTATAATCTCTCAAGCCTTAAGTCATTTTCCAATAGTCAAGTACTCAGTGAGAAGATAAAGATAATTTTCAGAGTATTTCCTACAGGGAAAGTGCCTTTAGACAGCAATATGAACACAGTGCTCATAGATTGCCACTATTATTGTATAAGAAACTGAAGCAGAGGGAGTTAGCACACTGACGTGGATAAATCACTAAAATACTATGCTAAGACCGGGCTCGGTGGCTCAGCCTGTAATCCCAACACTTTGGGAGGCCGAGGTGAGTGGATTGCCTGAACCCACGGGTTTGAGACCCGCCTGGGCAACTTGGCGAGACCTCATTTCTACAATAAATAAAAAATTAGCTGGGTGTGGTAGCGCACGCCTGTCGTTCCGGCTACTTGGAAGGCTGAGGCGGAAGGATCGCCAGAGCGCAGCAGGTCGAGGCTGCGGTGGCCAGGAGTGGCCATTGCACTCCAGTCTAGGTGACAGAGTGAGACTCCAACTCAAAAAAAAAAAAAAAAATACTATGCTAAGCCAGACAAAAGGACAAATATTGTATGATTTCATTTATATGAGTGTGGTGGTTAATTTTATATATCTACATAACCAGTTCATTGGGTGCCCAAATATTTGGCTAAACATTATTTCTGGGTATGTCTATGAGGGTATTTCTGGATGAGATTAGAGTTTGATTTTTTTTTTTTTTAAGACAGGTGAGCAGTTCATAGGAAGGATCAGGATTTAAACGTGGGCAGCCTTGTCCCAGGGGTTCGCAAACACTGAGATCTCTCAAACATAGAAAATAGACTTAGAAACTAGTAATTGTTAGCTTAAAGATTGTAATCCCAGCACTTTGAGAGGCCGAGGACTTAAAGATTTTTAAAAACATTTTTTGGGCAGGTTTTGGGGGAGATGGTAGCGAAATAGACTTAGCAGTGAAGCCTCCTGGATCAAATGCTTAAATCTGTATATGAAATGTCCTAATGTTTTTATTAAACCCCAAGAGTCTAATTCAATTCTTTTAAAGAATATGCAATGTAAGGATGGGAGAGAGAAGAGGAAAGGAAACAATAGAAGGAAAGTGGAGAGTTAATGAGGGGAAGATAAATAGCTATGAATTAATTATTAAATTTCTCCTTAAGTTTAATCAGTTATTGTTATTCATCTATGACCTTGTCTTAATAAGAAAGATAACTTTGGAATGCTCAGAAATGTGATTTATTAATGGAACAGCTTTTATATAAATATATAGTGATGTGAATTGCATGAGACCTACTTATACCATAAATATTCGTTCATTTGGAATTCAAGTTTAGCTGGGTGCCCTATATTTTTATTTGCTAAGTCTGGACCCCCTATATGTGAGTACACAGATGGTGTTCATCACATCCTTACTCTCCATCTTTGGTCACATTCATTAATCTCCTCTTCCTTAGAAACTACTAAAAGGTGCTACCCTAGCAGTTGTTTCAAGCCCACCATGGGCATGCCAAATCCTGGAGTATGACTGTTAATGATTCTCAAGCGGGCAAACTCATTTCCCACACTGTTCTTCACACACTGTCATCCATTACTGAACTTCTTGTATGTCAATCTGTATCATTCAAAGAGCTTCTTTACCTCCTAGAATGGCCCCTTTTCCAGAACACTTAGAAACGAGTTCATGATTGCAGGCATAGGAGGCAAGCACTCCCTGTTCCTGGCATCGGTGGTCATTTCCCCTCAGGAGGGCTTTTTCTGCCAATGCTGCTTAAGTTTGGCAAACAGTGACCTCTGGGCCTGGCTCTCCCACTCCGTCAGATGTGCGTAGGGATAGGCTTCTGTGATCCCTCTATCCTTCCTTTTCCCTGACTCCCATGCTCGTGATGTAAAAATTCCCCTTTGAGCTGCTTGTGTTTATGTTTGTGCAGACATAAACCTAAAGCAACTTTAAGAATCGCAATGGCTTAAAATAACCTTGCTTATTTGATTATTATTAGACTGAAATCTTCTAGTAACAAAACACCTACTGCTAGCTTAAGTATTATATGATAGCTGTCACATTTTATTGTTAATTAAAATGTGCCTGAGAAAAATATTGCTATGTTGACCATCTCTCTCTCTCTCTTTTTTTTTTTGAAAGCAGGATTTATTGAGGGGACAAAAAAGCTCCCAGAGCAGGAGGGGACCCAAGAAGCTTGCCCCACATCTCTTATAGATAGAAGATATATTGCCCTTTGTAATATAGTAGTGATTATCAGAGATTATGAGTTGTGGACATCAGACTGTGCGTGGGGTTATATAATCCTAGAAAGCATTAGCGGTTATCAGTTTGGTCAAGTTTGCCTGTGCTTACTTGACTGGTCCGACTGGACAGTTGATGAATGGACTTCCTGATTTCTCCCTTTACCTTCTTGAATTAACTCCATCACCTTTATTTATAGACATCTGACCTTTGAAAGTGCTATCTGATGACCTGATAGCAGAAGAATTTATGGTGCTAGGCATACCAGATAGTAAGTTGTGATTCTCTGACAGTATATTTGTGAAGATAACACCCCTTGGAGGAGAGCAGAGTGATTCTCTTCCAAGACTCCAGCCAGTAAATCTGCATTGCTGGTTTATGATTTCATGTTAACATCGTTGATTTACAATTTAAATTATTTTTCTTATTGATGTTAAGAGACAGGTACTGGCTTGAAGCACAAGCCCTGACATTGCGCTCTTGTGTAACTAACAGCTGTCACTGTTCTCCTGAGACGTATGGACCCCAATGTGCATCCAAATACAATGACTGTGAAGGGGGCTCAATGGTGCGCTGTGTCCACGGCATCTGTGAGGATTTAGCCCGAGAACAAGCTGGAGAGGTGGGTCCCTTCCCCAAATGTGCCTCCTTGCAGAGAGCAATGGTTATTACTTCCTCACCCTGTGCCGACTAGATCAGAACACTGTCCGGAGCTACATAGGTGAGGTCACTTTTTGCACAGACGCAGGGCACAGGCGGGGAGGGGAGACGGGAGATGTTAAAAACTGGACCCAGAGGTTAAGATGTCAATATGAGCCGGGCTCGGTGGCTCAGCCTGTAATCCCGCGCCTTTTGGAGACTGAGGTGAGTGGCTTGCCTGAGCCCGCGGGTTCGAGACCCGCCTGGGCAGCGAGACCTCATCTCTACAATAAATCAAAAAATCAGCC